CCTAACGATCTGTGGAAAATTGCGGAAAGGGTTGACGACTGTCATGGCGGTCGTAAGGTGTTCGTTAACCTTTGACCCCTGTTCGTGTCGGCAGGTCCGTATTACCTCCTCATGTCGCAGTGATTGATGGGTATTTACCTCGCACAGCAGAGCACGCCAATTTCACTCCCGTCATGCTCTGAAAATCATATTACAAACAAGATGCTAGGGCGTTGATGTAGGCAGGTGGCGAAAGAGGTCGTCATCAAATTATTACCTTCGTCGAGAAGGTTATGTTTTAGTTTATGTTTTTAATGCATGCAGGCCAACTGGATAGTATGTCCGGCAAACGTCTCTGGCCAATGATATCCCCTTTTGAGGCCGATTTCTACGATTTATTCAGCCTGCAAAAGAAGTCTGGTGGAGACTAGTGAATACATACTTTACCAAATGCAATGTCAAGTACTTCGGATTCAATAGGTTAACTGAGGTCAAGTACGAAGTCTACTGTCGAGTGTTTCTCACATGCAGCGCCAGTTGGTTTGTGTCTGCTGCAGTAGATAGTGTTCAAGGATCCCCCCACCCCAACCCCACACACTTGTTACAGGAGAAAACACTAATCGCACCGCAAGGTAAACGGAAGATTTGAACCAGCAAAGTCCCAGATTCCTGCGGTCCGGAGGAATTTGCCAAGTTTGTTGTTCTTGGCGCCAAGGATGTCGGAAGTTTTCTAAACACAATGGGGTTACACTGACATCGATGGGCCACCTGTTGTATCAGGAGGTTTGATGTAGCTTAGCGGGTCTTCTGCTGGTGGAAAATTATTGTAATAATTCATACAAATCCCCCATAGCTTGTGTAACTGTTATACGTTATCTTGTTTCCTAGTTTGGTTTGATTTTTGGTGTTCTACATGTCTTTTCAGTATTTGTTTTTCTGTATGTTTATTTCATATTTGTAAATAATAAAGAATTATCAAAAATACCCCCATAGCTTAACCAGAAATAGAATGGTAGTTGCCATGTCTCTCTTACCTGTTCATGTGTTACATGTCCTCCATTTGTCACATATAGATACGTTATTAAGTATAAGTATAACTATAACCTTAGATAAGTAGAAGTAGAATTTCATGTTAGCACATAGTTTTAGACCATTTTAATACATTCTGGGTTGTCCATCAAACGGCAGTCGTGTGACTATTATAACTTTTTATCTCCGATCCGCTGCATCTGTGATAGTTGTTTCTGCACTGCATATCTAAACCAACAGAGGTCGTTGTAATGTGGCAACGGGGTGTCTTCGAATTCGAATCTTCATCAAATATTATTGGAACTTATAGCAACCTCTCACGCCACCTTGCGACGACTGTCATACCTGCAAGTCTAGCAAAGTCACAATCTAAGAAAGATTGGAATTCCATGTCTCGAAGATGTATATTCAATTTAATAATTGAAACCAGTCTTCATCATATCAACGAAGCCTGTTGAAAACAATGTATTTTCGGTTTTAAAATCTTCACATAAAGCAAGGACTAATAGTAATAGTCCCAACGTAGCCAAAACGTGGAACCAGCCAACCTCATTCATGGAAAGCAAGCAAAACGTCTGAGAACTTGAAACTTGACCTAGCAACGGAGCTAGCTATAGGTGACTCTTTGTCAGCGTGAACATCCAGTCATTCTATCCTGTTGCTTCTGCAAAGTGGTTTGAGTTTGCATTGGCCGCTGATCGATGAATGAACACGAAAATGGCCTCTTTATTCCCCGGCGCGCGCCCGTGTGTTTGTTCAAGAATTCAAACAATAGCAACACCACGTGCCAGAATGTGAGGAGGCTTTAGGCCTTAGTTAAGTAGAAATATAAAGATTCCTTATTGACTCGACAAATGTACAACAGGTCTAAGGCCTTACTTTGTTAAGTAGAAACATAAGAGATTCTTTATGGACTTTCGTATGATCTACTACATGTACAACTAATACTCGAACAAAGATAAATACATATCACATTAATGCATACCGTGTAGGCTACAGATTCCTGAGGGTCTAATTATACATGTGTTTATAATTAGCAATTTGCCGAATGCCATGCGATTAAGAAAATATTAGTACACATAGGAATTAAGAATGATACATTGTAGTTTTAATGTATATCTAGCAATTCTACAAAACAGCAAGAACGGTTGCTACATTCGTATAAATAACCATAATAACTTCGAAATTATGCCATGACGTAGGAATTATCATGTTGACGTGGTATATCAGATTTTCATTTCCCCGGAAATATTAGCAGTGACTCACTCATGAGATCTCGGAATATTACCACAACTTCGATCTGCGTCATAACTTCTTGGCCTCACGGGTCTCTCAACATATTGCGGCGCGTAATTTCCCTTTCCTACGTGCTTTGTTCCTAACATTAATGAAATATCAACTCTATAGCTAATTACGAATTTCAGTGCAGTACTTTTAACGTTTAAAGTTAAAAAAAAAACACACTTTGTCAAATAAAGAGCTGTTGAATGATCCTGGCTCTTTGAAAGCAAAGTGTATTTTACATGACATTTTACAGTGCTGCAAAAATATATTTTACATTACATTTTCACAGTGCAGCAAAATGTCTTTTACATTACATTTTTCAGTACTGCTAGCTAGCCGTAACTATTCATTTGATATCAGTGCAATTATAGAACAATTGTATTCCACTATGCCCCGCCTGTTAGTACAAATACACTGAACCGTTCATCAACTGTGCTTATATATTGCAGAGAATCCTACTTCACAATGCCATTAAAGAATAAAAGTAGCGATGGATAATATGCTTCCACTGGGCCCTCTTTTGTTGTCGTTGCCAAATAGCTCTTTATTAATGGGATGATCTCCACCGCAAAAATGCCGTCCATTATAAACATAATCATTCCGTATGCGGCACTGTAGTACATATCTGAGAGGGTTACCAGCCTTGGAAAGTCCACGTACAGGTAAACATATCATTGTGCACTGCGGCGCTTTTATTTTTTCTGATGTTGAACTGCAATATGTGATCTGTAGACCAGTGTTTTTGCAAGGCCTTTTGAGCATAGGGCCCCCTATGCTGTGATTTGAACCTATGCTGTGATTTGGACCCTTATGCTGTATTCCAACCAGCATAGGGGTGTTTTTTGGGGAGGGGGGGGGGACCTTCGTAAATCTTGGAGAAATGAAAATGGGACTTAAGAATGAAGCTATAGCAAAGGGAAAACCTTAACTCACAAAACCTTGACCCTCATTAAGTGAGAAATAGTGTCTCAGGGGGTTGAGTTTCAATTTTTTTTACACCATGCACGTCTTGCACCACGAAAGTTGCCCTTCTGTACCTGACCCCTATGCTGTGAAAAATCCTGGTTAGAACCCTGTTGACGTGCATTGTCGTTACAGTTGTCAAGGGTAGCCTAGTGTAATGTAAGGTGTGTGTGTGGGTGTGTGTTGCAATGACATTTTGAAGCATTAGGTCCATTAAGCCACGGATCCTTTGCATTGCCTGCAGCGTTAGACCGTTTCACGTCAAGGAAAATTTGCAAGTCACCTTGGCCTTCCGCTCATTTTCTAGTAAGCTTGACGGATAGACGTAGACTTGGGATCATGTCACAGAATTATTCAATTGTACGTAAAATATTATGACGTTTCTACGTACCAACAATACCGGCTGTTGTGAACAGACTCTGCATTGTTTGATTTATGTATTCATCCTTCAAATAATATTATACAGAACAGCGTGTACCAGGCATGATATCAAACTTGTATTTCTCGTAAGCATTGCACATACAATTACGAAATCATTGTAGACTGACCTATATGATATATATATATATATATACATATTAGCCCATTGAATAACATATTCTAAGACTTCTATCTTAGACGGCCAGTTAGTGAATCTACTGCGGTTTTTGCCAAATATCTATTGTTTGATGAATCTGATAAGAACCTGACATTGCCCTACCAAAACATACAACAAGGAAGGTCAAAGTTTGCTGTAAGGACATAGAACATACAAATGCAAAACTTTGACGTAAAATCTATCAATCCTAATTACGGTGTCCTTTAGGAAAACCCTACAATCAATTCAAGGCTTTATAATTTCCCCCCTTAATCCTAATGGCAAACAGTAATGGCATAACAAATGCTACTAACGCTGTATTACATGATTGCAAATATAATGTACATTTGATCCCATAAAAGCTAATAATCATAATTAAATTTTTATCAATTAAGTCTGCTTTTATACAGCTGTTTTTAAATCCCATAAATGATAAATACATACGTAAAAAGTATGGATATTATAAATCATGAACATAGGGCTCAACATTAGATAATAATAAGAAGTTTATTGCAAATTTATGCCGGGGGGGGGCTAATTGCAGATTACAAACATAACAGAACAATGAAACGTAGTATAAAATAACTAAAATCTACATGATAAAAGGTAGTTGTCTAGAGCTGTAGCTTTAATATATAATAGTATTGTCTGTATCCAAGTTGACTCAGCAAAGTTCAAGGAAACGTCAAGCATATCTAAGAAAAGAACGTTAATCTGATAGAAACATATCGTTCATGGTATGAAAACGTTTTATGATAGCTTAGTGCGTGTAGCCTACGGCAGCATAAGGTCTTTTGTGCGATCACGACGGAATAAATATTTCTGTTCCCTGGTGCCTAAAATGTCAGTTGAAAAGGTTAAGTTAAGAAGAGCATCTATCCACATGATGCCCGTTTTCCCTCTGCCATTTAGTTTTACCCAACACAAGAGGTTAGATGAGCCATGTAGTATCTTTCAGGGCAGTGTAGGCGTCCATACGGAAATATTGACAGTACAGAATGCTGTTTAATTCATCAATCATGTTACCCTTAATACATAATGAGCTCTATTAGCAATATAAACTTCGTCATTACGCGTCAGCTGTAACATTTTGATATGTGATTTTAATTCGGCGTGTTTTAGGTGAGAAACATCTGTGCGGTTTCATTGTTCCACGTGCCGTCGATCTTCGTTAAATATTAATTAGGGTGGCGAACGAGGCTGTTTGTACGTCGTTTTGCGGCCTTGGGGCGGCTCGTATATTCGGGCGAACCGTAGGTGCGAGTAGGTGGGCGTTGAGGCCGCGTACGTGCCTGGAATGCAAACGACAACGCTGCAGCGGTACGGCCCTTAAGTGGGACGTAACTCACCCGTTATGATGATGACTCTGCGCGTAGCGGCGTGCGTTTGGCTTCCTGGAATAACGTCCGGGTAGAGGGAGAAAGGGAGGCGGAATTTGCGGCAGGACGCATCCATGAAGCCCCCGGTCGACCATGTACACGTGCGGGGTGCTAGTCCTCCTCCTTCTCGTATTTGCCGGTGACGTGGTGTTCTCTACCACGGAGCTGGAAGCGCCCGGCTTCGGGAACGGCACGGAGGTTCCCACCAACAGTTCGGAGGGCTTCAGCTGGCTGGAACTCACCGTGATGAGTGCTACAAGCGTGCGGATCACCTGGCCCGGTATGACGGACTTACAGTCCTACCACCGCGTGCTGTACGGTAAACCAGGAGCGGAGGAGCAGCTACACGTCCTACTGAAGCCTGGAGACAACGCGTACATCATATCCCACCTCATTCCATCCAGCTCGTACCGGGTGTGTATACTCAAGTCGGACCAGACGGAGCCGCACCCCGCCCAGTGCCGCGTGTTCACTACAGCCGAGGACACGCTGGCGGTGGAATACAAAGCGAAAGGTGCCATCCTGGGCGGCGTGGTGATCATGCTCATCTTCGTCGGCATCATCTACCGCTGTGTCCTGAGGAGGTACCGCACGTCGCAGGGCCACCCTGACGACGCCGGGGCCACCCCGCTCACGGACCTGGGGCTGGTGGAGGTCCACGGCGACGCCGGGAAGAAACTCGGGGACGTTCTGTCGGTGTCTGACTCTCGTGAGATCACTGACGACGACTTCCGCGTGACCAGGGTAAGGTGAGGTGAGGTAAGGTGAGACGGGAAGGAAGGACGGGCTGTCTCTGAACTTCGGTCTCTTCTGGACGTTTCCTGGGAAATTGTGGACGTCTCCCTCTCGCTTAGGTCAATGCAATACTTTCTTGTTCAATATCCTTGGGCTCGTCACTGTCTGGACTGATGCCTGATGAGGCCAATCCGGGCCAGGAAACCTCGCCCACATGTAATGTACTGTACTTAATGTACTGTATCATATTCAAACAATACGACGATGATGCTTACTCTATTGTAGGTGTCTAACCCAGTGTAGATACTCTCTTAGATGATATGTATCTTAGATACTTCAGTACAGTCCACGAAAACATTATCGAGGTACGTAAGCCTTCAACCATTCCCCGTAAGATCCTGAGACTACATGGGATTAGTTTCGGCCCGTAACACCCAGCGAGCCGATACGCCATGTGTAATGCCATTATAACGTTATCAGACGAGCTCCTATATGCGTGAGCGAGATTAGAGGTAAGGAAATTGGTTGCAGTGGGACTCTGAGAGGGTGTAGCCAAGTAATCAATACCTAGACGTTACATCTGTACCTGGAAAGTCTCACCAGAACTATATGAAATCCAGTGGACGATGAGCGTCTAGATCTACCGATGATGTGTCAATGCAATATACCCCATACCTTTTGTAAAACACAAATTATGTTTCAGCCTATCATTTTGCCATCTTTTCCTTCACATAATGGTATTGTGAGCTATATGGCAAATTTAGTTCTATACTATCCATTTTCTAATACCTGTCTCTCTCGGTATAACTATAGTAGGGCTATTGGAGGCAGTGAATTCGAGAAATAACTTGTAAATAAATAATGAATGTTGCTCCAAGATATAAGACAAGGATCTGCAACAAGCTAATTTGTTATGTTGCTACCAGTACCAGCAAATAGCATATGTTTAGCAGAAACAGTTTTAACTGTTGTGCTCATTTTCCCATCTGTATCCACATATCACATCTCCATTATTCTCTGTCCACATATTTACTGGGACCAAAATACTATCATCATCCATATCGTTAAAACAACCCCTTTTTAAGAGTAGCGATATTAGTATTATTAGATAGACTCAAAGACTAGGCCCTACTGTCTTCCTAGAATACTGGTTATCACCCAGTCTTATTTTGAAGCAATACTATAAACTGACAATGCAAAAATGACTAAGTGTCAAATGGCACCTCTGTTTTGTACCATGTACATAATAAAACAAACAAGACATCATTCTAATGTCTAAGAGTTATTTTTGTAGCTATAGGTGTGTGACGTTATGAATAACCAACAAGCAGAAGGAGGATGGCATGTACAAAAATGTGTAACCTTTTTGAGAACATGTTATATTGTAGTAGCTATAGCCCATAATCTTTCTGTGCTGATATCCACATGTCAACTTTCCAATGATATATTTTATCAGCATTTTGAAGAAAGCTATATATATATATATATATATATAGTACGTA